TATGAAAAGATGCACAGCATCATTAGTCATTAGAGACAAGCAAATCCAAACCACAGCGAGATATGCTGCATATCTATTAGGATGGCTGATGCTGGTAGAAAGGAAAATTTTAGGTGTTGGCAGGGATATGAAGAAATTGGAACCCTGTTGGATTGCTGGTGACAATATGACATAGTGCAGCCACTATGAAAATCAGTTTGGTAATGCCTTAAAAAGTAAAACTTAAGAGCTGGGGTGTAGCTCATTGGCAGAGCATTTGCCTAGCATGTGCAAGGCCCTGGGTTTGGTTCCCTGGACAGGGAGCAGGGAACATAGAATAACTATAAATCTAGCAGTTCCTCATATATACATGCAAAACTGAAACAATGACTCAAGCATACTTCTATACCAGTGTTCACAGCAACATTATTCATGATAGCCGAAAGGTAGAAATAACTCATGTCTGTCAACAGATAAATAGATAAATAACATGGATTCATATGTACAATAGGTTATTATTCTGCCACAAAAAATAATGAAATCTGATACATACTATAAAGTGGTTGAATCTTGAAAACATGTTAAATGAAATAAGCCAGTCACAAAAATAATGCATGATTCACTTAGGCAGTCCCTAGAATATGCAAATTCATAGAAGCAGAAAGTAGAACAAAGGTACAGGGGACTGAGGAGACTGGGAAGAGGAGATGAGGAGTTATTATTTAATAGGTACAGAGTTTTTGTTGGGATGGTAGAAAAGTTGTACAAATATATAATGTGGTGATTGTTACACAGCACTGTGAGTGTACTGAATACTGACTGCCACTTAAAATAGCAAATTTTATGTGTCTTCTACCTGTTCTTTTCTTTTCTTTTTTTGAGATGAGATTCTGCCATATTGCCCAGGGTGGCCTCAAACTCCTAGACCCAAGTGATCCTCCCACCTCAGCTTCCCAAGTAGCTAGGATTCAAGGCACACACCACCACACCAGGCTGTGCCGAACTTTTCCTTAAATGGGGAAGGAGGCAGATAGATTATGTCTGTGGTATCAGTAGACATGTATGACACCAGGGATCCAGAAGTGAGAAAATGACAGTGTTCAGCATAGGAAGTGGGACCTGTGCACTTGGCTACAGGTATGTGGCCTCAACAGAAAAGTCTTTCCCAAGGGGGAATTCGTTGTCTGTTTTGACTTAGATTGACTGAGTTCAAAATGGTACCACAGGAATTTTAAACAGCTGTGTCCTTATGATTCCTTGCGTCAGGGAATAACAGGGTGATCTATAATAGCAGAGGCTTGATATATCAGGTGATTATGTTGTTATTTTATATTGGGGATTTGATGAATTTGTATTTTGGTGGGAGATTTGAGTTGTTCGTTTTGTTTTGTTTTGTTTTGTTTTGTTTTGTTTTGTTTTGTTTTGTTTTGTTTGAGACAGACTTGCTATGTAGCCCAGGCTGGCCTCAAACTTGTGATATGTCTAAACACAGATTTACCTTGATTGCTATTAAAATTGTGTGGTAGCTGGGCATGGTGGCACACACCTGTAATCCCAGCACTTTGGGAAGCTGAGGCAGGAGGATCACAGGCTCAAGGCCAGCCTAGGCAACTTAGTGACTTAACAAGACCCTCCCTCAAAGTGAAAGTAAAGGGGAGGGCCTCTGAGTTCCATCCCCAGTACCATGGGGGAAGAAAGGGCCTGTATGGTTGGACTGGGAATATAGCTGAATGGTAAAGCAGTAGTCTGGCATGCATGAGACCCTGGTTCAAGCCCCAGCACCAAAAACAAAAAAGACTATAATATTTGTGATAGTAGTAGGCTGATTTCAATTTATTGAATGTTTGTTGGACAGTAGACATTATATTGAAAATGAAATTTTCACAGCAGTTATATGAAATATCTGCCACAGTTTGTGCCCATTTTGCAGATTAGTAACTAAATAGAAAGAATGTAGAACTTTCCCTTTCCCTATTCATTGCTAAGAATTGATAAGTTTAATGTAGACCCTAAGCGCTACAATTTTTTCAGACATGAAAGTATGAGGAAATTAAAACCATATAAAATCCTTAGGTTTTTTTTTTTTTTTTTACATCCACAGTTTATAGTTAATTGTTGGTGCTGCTTTAGATCTGAAGTGAAATTCTGAATCTGAAAAATCCTTTAAAGTGCTAGGGAGTGTTATGACAGATAGTCTTACTGTCTTACCATAGCATTATTAGTAGAGGCCTGAACTTGCCATTTGAGAAGTTCTTCACTTAAACGAAAGCCTCTTGTCACATTAACTTGCGAAGACATATTATGTTAGCTTTTTTTAATATTAACAGTCTGCACAAGCACAAGGACCTGAGTTCGATCCCTGGTACAAAATATATATATATTAACAGAGTTCTCTTTATTGAATATTTTCTGAGATAAAATGGTCTGATACGAAACTATAGCTTTTACAACTGAAGGAATCTTCTGCCTCTTCCTCCACAACAGTTGTTTTCACACTGACTGCATTTTGTTCAGACCTACCCTCCTACCTCTCACCTAAAAGATGACACTGTCCTTACCCTGGAGAAAAACTTTAAAATGACACTCCCATAACATGTAAAACCCCTGCATCATTAGTCTTGGCTGCTGGCCTCCTTTCCCTTGACTTGGGGATCCCTTACCCAGAGAGCTCCTCTCTCCTCATGCTAACCCCTCTTCCCTGGGAGAATTTGGGGAGAGCATTGTGGAGCATTTATTGGGTCTGTGGTACTGGGTCATGATACTGTTTTATAGGTGGCCGTGCCCAGGAAGAAGGAGACCAAGGATCAGGGAATAAACAAGAAAGACAGCCCCTGTCTTGGAGGAGTATGCTTTCTACTGTTGATATTACAAGTGCTAACATGAAACAAGCACTTCCTATATGCTGGGCTCCATACAGTCCACCTCCCATCAGCCCTCCCTGCTTCACAGAAGAGCTGAGAGTCAGAAATCAATGACTCCCCGGGCTGCACTGCTATAGAGAAGTAGACCCAGGCAGTGTCCATGCTGCTCAAGGCCTGCCTCTTGGTGTTTGGTAGGGTCCTGATGCTTTGTCCCTATAATGTCCTGAGGAAATGCCTTTGCTCTTGGAACTTGTGTGACCATTTTTGTCTTTTAATAATTTCCAAATCAGTGACTCCAAGTTCCACATGTCCCACAAAGGCCTCAGATGTGTTCCCAGTTCACCTCAGTTTCCCTTCCCTCTCTCCAGCTGGAGCCCTTTCTTGGGCTTGCCTGCCTACACAGTGGCACCACTACCTAGTATGCAGATACCAGGGTATGCTTTTGCCTCCACTTTATTAGGTGCCTAGCCATCGATTCCTTCCATTCTAACTCCTCAGTTCTCATCTTCTCTGCTATGGCCATAGTACAGACTCTCCTCAGTCTTACCCTCCCAGTCTGTCTTTCTGTGGCCACTAAAGTACACATCCTAAAGTATAAGCATGAATGGCTCATTTCCCTGAACTTGCCCCCATTGCCATATGGATAAAGTCCAGATTCCCAGCGTGTCTTAAGAAACTCTGCAGTGCTTCTCTCTTCTTCATCACATCTCCTCTCACTGAGCCTCTCCAGCCAGCTCCCCTCAGTTTGCTGGCCTCTTTTGGGGTGCATCCTTCCCTCTTGTGGGCCCCTCCAGCTCTGCCCCAGAGGAGCCCAGAGGCGCCCATGGCACCAAGTTGTCCTTGCCTCCTCTCTCCACCTCATGATCACAACACACTGCCTGGCACCTCCTGGACTCAATGATTATTTCTCAGACGGTTGAAACAAACCTTTGCTCAGAAAAAAATGAGTTTGTTTTCCTATAGAAATAAGATCATACCTTGAAGTGCAGGGTGCTTTAGGGCCTTACAAACTTTTCTGATTCTCTGAAAATCGTGTGTTTCATGGTATTAGTCTTTTCAATATAAACATATTCTAAAAATTAGATACACAGGGCCAGGGATTTAGCTCAGTGATTTTTCCGCCTCCTGCGCAAGCGCAAGGACCCGAGTTCAATCCCCGGTACCAAAAAAAAAATTAAATGCACATTCAAGGAATGAAACAATAAAGAAACTTGTGTTTTTGAAGTACTTAGATCTTTCTCCCACAAAATGTTAGCTGTGTGAGGGGTCACGTTGTTACTCCCTGCTTGTTTAGCCTAGGCTCAAGTCAGAGCAGGGCCTGGTAACCTAAGCACTCAGGAAATGTAAGTTAAATGGTATCTATAGAAATACTGCTTAAAGGACAGAAAAGCTCACAAGGGAAAAGCATGAATATTTTTCCTTTGAATAGTGCCAGTGGCCAGGCATGGTGGTGCACACCTGTAATCCCAGCTACTTGGAGGCTGAAGTAGGAGAATCATGAGTTTGAGGCCAGCTTGGGCATCATAGCAAGGCTTCACCTCAAAAAATAATCATGGTTGAAATGGTGTTGATAAACGTACTGAAATAGTATGTAAAGTTAAAATTTTCAGATTTGAACTCTTTGCTTTTTTTTTCAGTACTGGGGATCAAAACCAGAGCCTCATTCATGCTAGGCAGATGGTATACTATGGAACTATATGCCCACTCCCCCCTTCCCCACACATTTTCAAGTTTTTATTTTGTGACATGGTCTCACTAACTTGCTCAGCCTGGCCTGAAACTTGCAGTGCACCTGCCCCATCCTCTAAAGTAGCTGAGATTATAGGCATGTAACTCCATACCCAGCAGTGCTTTGCTTTCTTAGGGATTCTATGATTTGGGAGTAGGAAGGGGCAAGTTCTGCTACTAAATGATTTAAATTATTTTCTGGTATTTGGGACCCAGTCCCTGAGGTACAATGCTAACTTTTTATCAGGAACAGTAAAAATACATAAATCATGAGCCAGGTGTGCTAGAGCATGCCTGTAATCCCAGCTACCTGGGAGCTTGAGGCAGTGGGACCACAAGCTTGAGGCCAGCCTGGGCAATTTAGCAAGACACTGAGTCAAAAAATAAAAAGGACTCTTGGTTGATGAAGAAGTTTGGTTATACTAGTTTCCAGATATTTCTTTTTTTTTTTTTTTTTTGGTACCGGGGATCTAACTCAGGACCTTGCACTTGCAAGGGAGGCGCAGTGCCACTGAGCTAAATCCCCGGCCCTCCAGAGATTTCTTTCATTGGGTGGTTTGATTTGTTCTTCAGTCTGCTCCATCTGGACATAAACATCTGACCGTGGAAGAGTTATTTGGAACCTCTTTGCCAAAGGAACAACCAGCAGTGATGAGTCTGGATTCAGAAGAAGTAGAGAAGCTGCCAGGAGATGCCTCCCAGAAAGAACCCAGCTCCTTCCTACCCTTTCCCTTTGAGCATTCCGGAGAAGCTGCTCAGCCGGAAAACCTGAGTGTCCATTCAGCCGCTCACCATGCAGTCCAGCCTGAAGTCTCCACCCCAGTGCTCATCACTCCAGCTTCAATCACACAGTCTAGTGAGAGGCATGCCCCAAGCTACACGGTCCCCTTGAGCCCTGTGCTCAGTCCCACTCTGCCAGCCGAAGCTGCTACTCCACAAATTGTCCCTGGTTTACCTCGAAATAGCACCATAATGCAAGGAGTGAAAACCACGCCTAGACAGAGGTCTCCACTCCTGAACCAGCCAGTCCCTGAGCTCAGCCACACCGGTCTAATTGCCAGCCAGAGCCCCTTCAGGCCCCCACTGAGCATGACGAACACAGCTGGCACATCCCTCCCTAGCGTTGATCTTCTCCAGAAACTCAGGTTGACTCCACAGCATGACCAAATGCAGACACAGCCGCTTGGGAAAGGTGCAGTCGCACCTAGCTTTCCTCCAGCAGCTGGTCAGCTGGCCACGCCTGAGAGCTTCACAGAGCCGCCCTCCAAGGTGGCAGCAGCAAGGGCAGCAGCCGCCGCCTCCCTGAGCAGCATGGGCCTGGCCCCCCTTCAGGTAAGGCAGGAGGGTGGGGTGGGTGGGACAAAACGACAGAACCTTGTTTTTGGCTGACAGGAGACAGCCAAGTTGTGCAGAGAGTTTTCTCTTTTGAAGTATATCATGGCTAGGAGAAAAGGTGCTGGTTAGGTTGCTGTCATTGTGACAAAATACCTGAGAAAATCAGTTTAAAGAAGGAAAGATTTGGGCCAGGGATTTAGCTCAGTGGTTCCGCCTGCCTTGCAAGCACAAGGTCCTGAGTTCCATCCCTGGTACCAAAAACAAACAAGAAGTAGAGAGGGAACAAGGAAGGGGTCAGCCAAGGTAGACCTTTCCATGGCATGCCCACAGTGACCTACTGTTCTTGCTCCAACTAGGCCCCACCTCCTACAGTTTCTGCCACCTCCCAATAGTTCATTCAGTTGTGAACCCATTAATGGATTAATCCATTGATAAGATCAGAGCTTTCATGACCCAATCACTTCCCAAAAGCCCACCTCTGAACATGGCTGCATTGGAGACCAAGCCTTCACTGTGGCCCTTGGGGGACATTGCAGATCCAAATCATGGCAGGGGTAAGAAACGCTATGTGAGCTCATTGTAATTGGTAAGTGGTATAGATCAATTCACTTACCAAGATTATTTCAAGTGATAAAAGCTAAGAAACTATTTTCCTAGCCAGGTATCCATTTTAGGTTTGTTTTAGTCTGACATTTTTAGGAATCCTCATTTGTCTCAAGACCATAGACCCAGATTACTCCAAGCTAGGCCTGTTCCCATCTTCCTTAGCACTCTTGAGTTGCCTACCTTATGCCAGCAACGCCATAAGAGAATCCCAGACCCAGAGACGAGTCAAATAAAGCTCCCTAAGGAAGCTGGTGTTTCAGCTGCAATCTAAGGACTCAGAAGACAGGCACACCTTCCGAGTGTTGGGAACAGTATTTGAGGAGAGAGTAGCATATGCATCAGGGGGGCGGAGAGTTCCACACCCTGGGCAGTTGGACAACTTAGCGAGACCTGTGTCAAAATTAAAAGCTCTTCCCCTGCTGGGGATCTTCCCCAAAGAATTAAAAGAATCATACCACAGTGATACATGTGCACCCATGTTCATAGCGGCACAGTTTGTAATAGCTAAAGCTTGGAAACATCCTAAGTTTCACCTGGAAACTGGATAAAGAAGTTGTTTTTTAAAAAATAAAATGGAATGGTTCCGCTGCCTGCCTCACAAGCACAAGGACCCAAGTTCAACCCCTGGTACCTAAAATAAAATAAAATGTAGTACTACTCAGCCATAAAGAATGAGAAACTAGGGCCGGGCATTTAGCTCAGTGGTTCTGCTCCCTGCCTTGCAAGTGCAAGGTCCTGAGTTCGATCCCTGGTACCAAAAAAAAAAAAAAATGGGAAACTAGAGACATTTATAGATAAATGGATGCACATGGAGGCCATCCTCTTTTTTTTGGTACTGGGGATTGAACTCAGGACCTTGCACTTACCAGGCAGGCACTGTGCTGCTGAGCTAAATCCCCGGCCTGAGACCATACTATTAAGTGAAATAAATAGGACACACGTGTGTAAATACCAAATAGTTTCTCTAGTGTGAGAAACTCAAAGTGTAAATGAGGATCAAAATATATAATAGATCATGTGAAATAAGAAAAGGCCTGAAGGGGAAGTGGGAGGGGTAGGGGAAAGGAAAGAAGGGAAAGGAATAAATATGAGAAAAGGAAAAAATGGAAACAAAGTCTTTGTAAATAGGGAGGGCAGGGGAAGGGGAAAAAATAAGAACCAAGATGCATCATATAAAGGTGCAAATTTCCAATGATGAATCTCATTGTATACCTAAAATACCAATAAGTTTAATGAATTTTTTAAAATATGAAAATGAAAACATTAAAAAAAAGATGGGTGCAGCGCAGTGTGAGTGAAGGCCCAGAGTTCCATCCCCAGTACTCCCCCCCCCACCCCGAAAAAAACAAAGCAGTCCAGGGAGGCTTCTCAGGGAGGTGAGGGCCCCGCTGTACTTCTGAGGGGCACGAGGCCGCGGCAGCCGGCCCTCCCTGGTGAAGGCTGAGCCTGCTTCTCCCATGCCAGACCCTTACTTGGTTATGCACGGCACAGGGTGAGCGAAAGCGCGCCTGCCGAACCTTGGTGTCTCCCCTTCCTCACCTCCTACTGGCCCTTGTTGGGCCTCGCCTGTGGTGAGGGGCTCAGTGACTGGGGCCCCTGTCAGCCAAGGCTTGGCAGGATGGCAAAGGCCCTGTCCCTGTGTCCTCTGTGTCCTGGTGGGTGACTGGGAGAGTTCCATCTTGTCTGGGCAACCCCAGTTTGCCGTGCGATTGGACAAAGCTACCAGCTGCCACCACTGCTCGTGATGTCCTGCAGCCCTTTCCGTCCAAGTTCTGCTTCGGCCAGAAACACACAAGGAATCCTGTTGTCCAGCAGACTGATGGCAGACACTGCCATCTGGGGAACAAGCTGTTTGGAGAAGGTGCAAGTCTGTCGCTGGGCCTGGCTGGGTCACAGTGGCTTCAGGAGCAGAGATTTGCCAGCAGCTCAGACCTGTGCAGCAGTGGGGACCTCAGAGGGATGTGAGGCCCAGACCCTGTGCTTCCAGGGCTCCCAGAAATGGCCTTGGGCGTGTAGACAGGGAGCAGCCCCTCAGCCAGGCCAAAAAGAAACAAAAAGCATATGCCGGGCTCGGAGATGAGAAAGCATTTGGCGAACTTAGAGAACTATAGCATGAGGGCTGGCCACAGTGCTCAGGGGTAGTGTTTGTCTGCTACGGACAGCGTCCTGGGCTTAATCCCCGGCACTAAAACACAAAACAAAAAGCTACAGTGAGATGGATGTGCTGTGGAAAGGAAGTTGGGGGACCCAATACTGGGAGATGAGCAGGACTAAAGGTTTAATTGAAGGAATTTGAGTTTTCTCACCCCTGGAAAGTCTTCGATGTGTTCTGAGGAAAGATGCTGTGGCAGTCATCCAAGCTTAAGCTGATGTGAGCTTAAACTGGGGAGCGTGGACAGGTAAATGGTAGAATAGTAAGAATAAGACAAGATTTACCTTTCACCATAATTCATAAGTTTGCTGAGTTTACAAATGAGAAAAATGAGGGCTGGGAATGTAGCTCAGTGGCACTGCGTCTGCCTGCCAAGCACAAGGTCCTCAGTTTGGTCCCCGTACCAAAAAACAACAAATGAGAAAATTACTGAGTTCAGGTGACTCTTAGAAGATCACACAGACCTGAAAGGGAATAGAACCTGCTACTCTAAAAGAGTAATGGTTAACATTTTACCGAATATTATTGTGTAGAAAAACTCATCAAAATTACTGTGTATTCTGTAATCCCAACACTTGGGAGGCTGACGCAGGAGGATCGCCACAAGGTTTGAGGCCACCAAGGGCTACGTAGTGAGTTCAAGGCCAATCCGAACTACATAGCGAGACCTTGTCGCAAAAAGAAAAAAAGAATTATTGTGTATTGCAGCCTTGGTGATGCATGCCTGTAATTCTGGCACTCTGGGAGACTGAAGCAGGAGGAGCACAAACTCAAGCCCAGCCTAGGAAATGTAGTGACTTAGCAAGACCCTGTCCTCAAAATAAAAAATGTTGAAAGGACTGGGAATGTAGCTCAGTAAGAAGGCCCTGGGTTCAATCCCAAGAGGAAGGGGGTTACGGTGGGTGAGAAGGATGACAGTGGACTGTGTTGTTTCTTAGTGGGATATTTTCGTTCCTTTGACAGGTTGTATAGAAAGAAAAAACTCAGTACCCTGATTTCATCATTACATTGTCATTCTCTACCTTTTCTGCAGTATAAAAAGAGAACATTGTGTTCAGCGTTAAGTGTCATGTCCCTAAAATACCACTGCCCGAGTTCTGCAAGCACAAGCAGCAGTCCTGGCCCGAGTCCTCTCCAGATTCTGGCCTGGAGGATGACACCCTCCTCTGGCATGCCTCCTGCCAAGGGTCACTCACCCACCTGCACTGTCTGATTTATGTGCCAGTAGCTAATGTTAGGACCTGATGCTTTCTGGGTTCTCGTGTTTTGCTTTACAACAAGTTCTTTCTCCAGTGTGTGAGGACAAAATTGAGCATGTGGAGATGTGCCTGCGGTGAAGGCTGTTCAATGCCTCCTAAGTAGAAATAACTATCAGGAGACATCAGGCTGGGTCGGGGATGTAGTTCAGCGGTAGAACACTTCTGTAGCATGTGTGAGGCCCTGAACTTGATCCCCAGCACACACAAAAAAGTCCATCAGGCTACCAAGATCTGTCATCGGTACTCAGCAGCAAAACTTGGCCTGGATTGTCCTTGGCTCCTTTGAGAAACTCAGGTTTCAGCTTTCTCTTCAGAGAGCCTTACCAGCTCTGCCCATGCCCCCTTCCTTCCTGTCAGCCTTTTCCCGCCATACCCTTGGAACTGGTTAATACTGACGACTGATCCCTATGACTAACCTAGATTTGTCACCAGTTATCAGGAAATCCTAATGGAAATGTGCTACATCTGTTAACCTTTTCTCATTAAATATTTCAGTCTGTGCAGCAAACCCAGGACCCTGAGGTATTTGCCCAGCCTAAGGCGTTAATCAGTGCCATCACGGTAAGAGCTCCCTTTTCCTAAAGAATACATTGTAAGTTCTATTGAATATGAGGTCAGCTATTATCACCCTGGTGAGAAAGTTTAGCTTTCAAGGCCAGGTCATCTCAGATGCCCGTCCTGGCCGGGCCACTCTGCTCCCCAGGTAGAGCTCACTGCTGTGACCTCTGGGGCTCGTCCTCCTCTGTGTGGATCTTTTCCCAACTGGAGAGGGGCGGGCTGAAGGCCACAGAGGGCAGGGTCAGCCTGGACCCAGGGCCTTCACACTGAGCTACATCTCTAGCCCAGAGTCTTGCTAAGCCACTAAGTGGTCCTGGCTGGGCTTGACTTACGGTCTTCTTGCCTCAGCCTCCCAAAGTGCCAGAATTACAGGATTGCACACCTATCTCACCTGGTTTCTCTAAATACAAGATCTCCGTTGCCCAGGAGGAGCTGTATGGCTTCATGTGGCAGAGCCACAATCCTGCCACAATCCTTCATTTCCCTTGCTGTGATGATGAAGCCTCCCAGGCTATAGTACTCCGTCCCTTGTTTATCCTTTCAGGCCTCCTTCTTCTTCATTTTTGGTATTTTGAGACAGACTCACTATGTAGTCCAGGTCAGCCTTGAACTCACTATGTAGCCCAGGCTGTCCTCAAACTCAAGATGATCCTTCTGCCTCAGCCACCCCAATGCCGCAATTACAGGCTTGCACTACCGTGCCTGGCTAGGCCTCTTTTTTTCTTTTTTTCTTTTTTTTTTAATTTATATATTAATTGGTACATTTTAGGTATACAGTACGTTTACATTTATCATTGGGTGTTTGTCCCTGAACATATGATGTATCTTAGTTCTTTTTTCCCCATTACCTGTGCACCCTTCCCCCCCTTCCCTATTTACATAGACTTCGTTTCCATTTTTTTTCTTTCTCATAATTTTTCCTTTCCCTTCTTTCCTTTCCCCTTCCCCTCCCATCATCCCTACACCTTTGGACCTTTTCCTATTTCAGATTATCAGTTATTCATTTTAATCATTTTAATCCTTATTTACACTTTCAGTTTCTCACACTAGAGAAACTATTCGGTATTTACACACACGTGTGTCCTATTTAGGCCTCATTTTTTTACATATGTTGTCCCCTACCCTCCATCACCCTCCAACCTTGAAATCCACATTCTTTTTTCAGTTCTTTTCATTTCACACTCCTTTTTGTGTTTGAGCGTGTACACACCTTGAGTCTCAAGTTTAAGTTAAAGCCATCTTCTGCCTGGTTTGGGGTGGCTTGTCCTGTTCTGTGGTGACCAGCAAAAAGCTCCACCTGGTTTTGCACCAGAAAACAAGATAAATGGCCCAGATATCAAGAACCAGAGCCAATAAAACTCTGGCAGGCTCTTTGCCATTGGTAAATGAGGAGGTGATGAAGAACAAGAGGAGGTGATGAAGAGCTCAGAGATAGAGCGCATGCTTAGCATGTGCCAAGCCCCTGCTTCACTCCCCTGCTTCACTCCCCAGCACCCCCAAAAAAGAAGAGAGGAAGGAAATGTTTATCCAATGTGAGAATTATTTAAAATACCCACAATACTGGTTTAGTGTATTTTGATTGCTAACTGTAATTAGCATAGAAGCACATCTAAATGGAGGAAGTAGGTAGATGTTAGCTGTATTTTTGTTGTTGTTGTTGTTAGCTGTATTTTTTAAGAAATATTGTCTTTATATAACTAGCTGGCTTTTGTTTCCCATACTAGAACTTAGGGCCATCTTTGCACAGGCAAGGCAAGTGCTGTACCACTGAGCTACATCCCACCCAGCCCAGAACTTAATTTTTAGTGTCTCTTTTTATTATAATTTACATACAATAAAATACAAATTTTTTATGAGTTCTAACACAATATTTAACAGCCCTGGGTGAAGCAGCAGGCCAGCTGGATGTGATGGTACACATCTGTAATCCCAGTGCTCTGAGAGGCCGAGGGAGAAGGATCCCAAGTTTGAGCCCAGCCTGGGCAACTTAGCTAGACCCCCGTCTCCAAAAATTGGAAGAACTGAGGATGCAGCTTAGTGCAAAGGTTCTGGGTTCAATCCCTTGAACCAGGAAAAAACGGGGATAAGCCATTCAGTCAGTTAACAGTTTCATCATATGTTTGTCCAATCATTTCCTCAGCTCCATCCCCAAGGAATTTTTGTTTTTATCATAGGATTGTTCTCACTGTGCATGCCATACTGTTACTTCTCATAACCACCTTTTGCAGTGGTTGGATTTGGCTTCCCTTGATGACTCTAGGAGAGTGGTGGCAAGCCTGTGGCACATGTGCTCCAGCCAGCTATTCGTTACTGTTGAAAGCTCTAAAAGGTTCACCGTCTCTGCCCTAGGGCATTCTTCCATAAGTGGGCTGTTCATCCTTTAGCTAACAGGAGCTTCATAACCAGATATAAAATGTTCAAATGTTTCTTCATTGTTATTTTTTTCTGTCTGTTTTTGGTACCAGGGATCGAATTCAGGACCTTTTGCTTGGGAGGCAGGCAAGGTGCCAATGAGCTAAATCCCCGACCCTTTGTTTGTTTTTGAGACAGGGTCTCTATGTAGCCCAGGCTGGCCTTGAACTCCAGTGATCCTCCTGCCTTAGCCTGTCAAGTGATGGAATTACAGATGTGCGCCACTGTGACCAGCTTAAAATGTTCAAATGTTTCTACTGAATGTTTTTCTGAATCCAAAAGAGTGTTTGGGAGCTAGAGGTGTAGCTCAGTGGTAGAGCACTTGCCTAGCATGCAGAAGGCCCTGGGCTCAATCCCCAGCAATACAAGGAATAAAGGGAGGGAGGGAGGGAGGAGGAAGGAAGTAGGGGAGTGGATAGAATGAGTGCTGTGTGCTTTACCCTCATACTGCTAGTGCCTGGTATCAGATGTCCCCTGCTCTGGATGCCCGCTTCCACGTGATACAAAAGGACCGTTGCCCCCCACACAGGTTGCAGGCCCTCCATTGGTTACTGCGACGACCACAGCAGTATCTTCAGTCCTGCTGTCCCCAAGTGTTTTCCAGCAGACTGTTCCGAGGTCCACAGACCTTGAAAGGAAAGCAAGCTCCCCTTCTCCCCTCACCATTGGAACACCAGAAAATCAGAGAAAGCCTTCCATTATTCTCAGCAAGTCTCAGCTCCAAGATACATTGATACATCTAATAAAGGTATGTAGACTATCCATATAGTCTTGATGTTTTTAATTCTTCAATAAAAGAAAACTAATTTTATAAGTTCTTACAAATTCAGAAGACTACCTTTGAGTAATGTTTCTCTCTTCGTAAGTTAATGCTCCAGGTGGAATAATAACTTAGTAAACTCCACACTGTTAATCATGACTGTCTCTGGATGATGAGATTATTTGGGTCATTAGTAAATTAGTTATACCAGTCATTTACACAATTTGTTCCTGTTATCAAAGAAGTAAGTTCTGATGAGGTAAATGCGATATTGATGTCCTTACCTTCTCCATCTCTTCCAGAATGATCCCAGCTTCCTCAGTACACTTCATGAAGCTTACCTGCAGGTTCTGACCAAGAACAAAGACAACCACAAGCTATGACTGGAGTGGGATAAACCTGAAGGCAGAGAGTCAACCTCAAAAACAAATAGGCATCATCATGGAAACGTCTTTCTAAATAGAACGTGGGAGTTTTGAGAATTCTGAAATTCAGCCCGTGAGAAAGAGACTCAGTCCTTAAGAATGTTTCCGGTGACATTCTTGGTGATAATGGAGGTTTCGCTGTGAAGCATCACCAGCAGACTTTTATTTTGACAAAACAACAAAAAGACCATTGTGTTCCATGGGTGTTTTCCTCAGCTGTGTGGAAGTGTGTGTGGAATAGGGAGTCTGGTTTCAGCTTGCTTTCATTTTCACGATCTTAGGAGTAGTCACCAGCCTTGGCAGCAGAGCTCAGCCTAGCCTACACCACCGCCCGACCCACGCACTGGACTCATCGGCATTAGGCTGATGGTCAAGGGTTGAGCAGAGTAGACATCAGTTCTAAAAGTAGCATCAGGTTTTAAAGGATCAGAGTTTAAGTTGATAAATTAGGAATGATTTGTTCAAGTGAAGTCTTTTATATGTGTGCCGCCATTTGGGCCTTTAAAATTCTGAAATTTCCCTGCGCTTTGTTTTTAAGTGTCCCCACTCCTGCCATGCAGTAGGCACCAATGCAGGCACCAGTGCAGCGTTACTGTGGAAGAAGGGCCTTCTGAGATCTGTAGTGATACGAAATTTGAAACAGGCTGGGGCTGGGAATGCTCAAATCCTACCAGAAATTTTCATTTTAAGTTAAACTTTCCAGTGGTTTTGGAAATGTTAAATTTGTATGAGAAGCACAGCCTTATTTTCCTTTTCTGTCTAAACACAGTTAGAAGTCATTGTTAATTGTATTCCTTAACACTTTGACAAAAGGACCAGTGGACCAATCCGACAAGGCCATTCTGGTTCCATTCCTCGAGTGTACTGAGAACCATTTTAAAGCTGTGCAGAAAAGGGAGCTGTGACTCACACTGCCCTTACTGTGTTGTAGAATACAGAGTTTGAAAGGAAGTGTGAGGTTCAGAATGCCACCAGTGTACCCCCAGGTTGTGAGCACTTTCCCGGCCCAAAGTGTGGACACGGACACGCGTGAAGATGCTTTGTTACGCTGCTGTTGATCTGCCGTGATATATATTTATTCCTTTATGGCATGGAATGGTGCTCAACAATATCTTAATGTAGATTTTGATTTATTTCAGCAATAGCAACTTTAAGACCTTCTCTGAATGAGTGTCTGCGTTTCTAAGATACAGGTCATTTTGTAGCATTTGACCAGTTAAGACGCACTGCTTACCTTCCCAAGTACTATTTCATGAGGGCTAAAAACCCACCTGGCCCAACCAGCTATCACAAGGGCTAGCTGTGAATAATGCTGTCAGATGTCGTGGTTCCTTGGGAACAGTCATTTAAGCTTTAATGGTAACTCAATCATGGATCTGTAGGAGTTTTTTTCTTGCTGAAATTTTAGGAAATTACTTGTGAATTACAAACTTACTTTAGTTCGGTCTTAGTTTTTAGCGTAAAGAATACTTCATTTGATTAGCTTCTATTGGTCTAAACAGGCTTCCTAGACAGTGTTCTGCGCAGCTTAGTGTCTTCTCTGCTGTCTGCCTAGTTAACGTGTGAATTGTGTAGAATTCAGGGAAATTTATAAGTTTTCTTACTCAATTGGGGATCATTTGTTTTCAAAGATAGTGTATAAACTCAGCAACCAAAAATGAATTGTTCATACAGCATCTGGGAAAGAGAAAGTTACAGTAAGATAGGATAAGTGGTAGGATAAGGAGTGTTGCTGACACCAGGAGATGCAGTCCAAAAAGCCAGGTGGCTTTCTCACAAAATGAATTTACCAGAAGGTTTGATCATGCCCCAAGTGTAGTCTCAGTGGGCTTTAGTAGACAGATGAATCAGGGGATTCTCGTTACAATAGACATTTGGATTTAAATGGTGCTTTTGAGTGTGTTTAATAATATAAGAGAGTAAAAAGAGAATACCCTAAAGAGGGTCTGTAATCAGTCTGTTAATTTTCACCCTTTAATCCTAGGAATGAATATGATAGACAGTAAAAGAAAATCTATGATAAGGCTTCCTTCGAGTGAAAGTAAACTTTTTAAATGCCCAAGTTATGGAGACTTGAAAAGGGTAAACCTGTTTCAACTCCCAAGTTTATATATTCAAAGTATTTACTTCAAATTCAGAAGCCAAAAGTTTGTGGTCATGATTACCAGGAAGTTCAGGCCAGAATGAGTCCCCAGAGAGCCAGGCCAGTCCTGGGTACTTGCAGTCGGATGAGCCTGGCCTGAAAGTCACAGTTCAGTTGCCTTTTCCTCATTCAGGCTTGCTGTCCAGAACCTCATGCTAGCTTAGGTTGCACATTTGCATTGCTGCCATGTCTTTACTGGAAACTTAGTAGAACGGAAGTGGACACCAACATGGAGATGCTACTTGCTAGGTTTTACAGAACCCCAGGAGACCGTCCTTTAGCCCACTCTGTCCACTGTACCTGCACCCAGCCCCCTAGCCTCTGCAGTCCACGTGTAGGCTCTAGGAGCAGCCGGAGTGTGGTATGTGACAGTATCCCCAGTGGGTGGCGCTGCTCTTCATGTTGTAAAGTGATGTCTTAATTGGCACAAATACCACACAGACCTGTGTACCTCCCAGACGGCCTTATTCCTCTTTCTTGCACACCTCTCCTGGGATTTGTGAGGTGTACAAGTTGGCCTGCTTGACTTTGGGTCCTAAGTTTTCAAGTGACCATCAGTACCAGGGGAAGCATTTCATGGAGCCTGCATGTGGAATGCCCACAGCTTACCTTGGACAGAGTGGTGTTTTGTTCAGAATTCAAGTCAGCCTGGGCACTTCTCTCCAGGAGGATGCACAGGCTTAAGTTAGAATGTGTCTGATAGATTTTGCGTGTCCAAGCGTTTGTTCTATTTCTGGCCTATGTTTTCTTGTGGACATTATAAACCCCAGCAAATCCACTGTTAGGTAAATTGTTTTAAACCTTGCAGCTTTATTACTCTCCTTCCCCAAAGAATGTAGTTTGAATTTTTCTCCTTTTGATAGTAGAGGCCATAACTGCCGTTGTATTACTAATGATGCAACATGAATCTGAGGGTGCCTAACTGCTTAAAAAACAGCCATCACAGTAACTGGGGGAGGAGTGAGGTGGCACAGGCACAAGTGGGCTCCCCCTGCGTAGTAAGGACTGAGGGGTCGCAGGCCCGTGTCCTGCACCCTTGCTGCGTTCACTGTGGAGCGTGTTTCTTTGCCTACCTTTGGCTTTCTTCATCTGTGTTCAGAGTACCTTCTGGAAGCAGTAGTGCCCTGTGTTTTCATTGTCTGACATGTTAGGGTCTGAGTAGAGCAAAGCTACTTACAGAGGCTTTTTAAAAGCTGTGCTTGAGAACATTGCCATAAGTGAGCCAGGCCTCAAGGGCCCTGTTTTTCAGCCGATTTCAGCAGGAGAGGTACGTGCAAAGTCTCACTCAGATTTGGAGTTGACATCTTTCTTTAAAATGCTAAGATGCAATATCTATCACTTTGAAGTGGGAAAAATGCAAAATTGTGTTTCCCTTTTATCTGTGTGAATCCTTAGGAAATGCGTGTTTTAAAATATGTGTTCTAAATGGTCTTTTTATTCTGTATCACTGCTTTGGCCACGTGGCTCTCACGACTCCATTACACCGGATTCTCAGCTCCCTGCAGTGTTGGGGACAAGACGCTGTGGAATGACAGCAAGGTTTTTGTCTCATGAGCACGATACTGCATCATTAACATTTTTAATGGTATGGATTTTATACCATCTGTGTATGTTTGCAAATATTAAGTTATTACATGTTTTAAAATGAGCATTTTTCATCCTAAATTTTATATGTTTGCAAATATATTTTTTTAATAAAATTCCGAAACCCAGTTTTAGCACGTACTAAATGTTCATTGTGTCTTTATGTAATTTGTAGGTCTAGGAACCTTTGAGTAAGTTGCTGCACTTTTCTAGAGCTCCACGGTGGTAAGATGGGATGGGGTGGGCAGAGAAAACTCCACCCTCCCAGTCAGGTTCTCCAGAGAAGCAGAGGCACTAAGAGATGCATCCTTACAGATGTATAGGAACAGATTTACCATGCCAAAAGGTGGGATTCCACCAGGTATGGTGGGCACACCTATAATTCTATCACACTGGGAGGCTGAGGCAGGAGAACTACAAGGTTGAGCCCAGCCTGGGCAACTTAGTGACTTAGCAAGACCCCAACTCAAAGTCAAACATGAAAAAAAGGGTAGGGACATAGCCCAGTGTGAAGTTTCAATCCCCAGGACTGGAAAGAAGGAAAAAAGAACAAATTGAATTTAGGGATCTTAACTGGCTACTGACTATTTCTAAGTCTAGAATCCAGCAACATCTCATTCTATTCATTTTTTTCTTTGTTTTGTTTTTGGTGCAGGAGTGATCCAGGGCCCTGCATATGCTGCTAAGCACATGCTGCGCACGGAATTACCCTGCCAGCCTCTTTTAACGAGTTGTTTTTTTCTTCTTTTTTTTTTTGGCACCAGGAATCGAACTTAGGTCCTTCCGCATGCAAGGCAGGCGCCGGAACCACTGAGCTAAATCCCCAGCTAACAGGCTGGTTTTTGTGATTACTGGGCATCGAACCCAGAGCCCTCACATCCCCAGATCTTTCTTGGTTTTTGTCTTTTGGGGTTTGGGGTCTGGGATTTTGTTTTTGTTTTGTTTTTGAGACAGGATCTTGCGGAATTGTCCAGGCTGGGCTCAAATCTCAAACTGTGATCCTCCTGCCTCAGCCTCCCTCAGTCCTGGGGTGACAGGGGCATGCCACATCTGCCAAGAGCTTGGTTTTATAGCAGGAAACAGGCTGAGGAAAGCAGAAACAAAATAAAGTTGGATTGGTTGTTTCACCATTCCTTTTTTTTTGTAACTTACAATAGTTAAAGCAGATGAGACAAAACTGCCTATTTAAGAATTTCTCTTGATTTCTCTAAAGGTCAAATAAACAGCTTATTGGTGTTTTGGTGTTTTGTTTTGTTTGGGGGCTAGATTTGGCTTGCTGGTATGGAACTTCAGCATGAGTTGACTCAGTTTTGGCTTGGTCTGTTGGACCTAGTGTGGGACTTCAGCTCAAACTGTCTTCTGTAAAATCTAGCAGTTACGGAGAATTGGCTCACAGGACTGTGGAAACTGAGAAGTCCCACAGTCTGCTGTCCGGAAGTTGGAGACTCAGGAAATCTGAGTGGTGTGCATTATGCACCAGGCTAGCAAGCCTGAGAACCAGCAGCCATGAAGCCAGAGAGGGATGTGCCAGCTGGTCAGGTGGCATTAACTCAACCTTCCTCCTCCTCTCTGTTCTGATGCCCTCAAGGGCTTGAATAATGTCCTCCACCTTGGTGAGGACAGAGCTGCCTCACTCAGTCTGCCCATTCAAACACTAATCTCCCAGAAACACCCTCGGACACACCCAGAAATGATGGTTGGCTGCTGTGTGGGCACCCATGGCTCAGTGGAGTGGACACAGAATTATCCTTTCCGGGCAGCCTATTCCCAGGAAGCACAGTCCCAGGCAGCAGAGAGTCTGAGATGGAAGCCTGAGTCCTATGTCTATTAAATAATTTACTCTGCAGTAGCTCGCACGGGTGAACATCCACATCTCAGGAGACTCATTTACTGCTTGAGGGTCAGAGGGTGCAATTCTAATCACTACCAAAACTGTCTTGAGTCATTTCCCAAATTCACTCAATTCCTGTTTATCTAACTGCTGATAGGGCAGACGTCTAAGATGGTAAGAAGAAAAGCAAAACAACTGTGGAAATAAGAGAAAAGTGTAAGGAAAAAAGATTTAAGACTACCTCCCTGACATTGCTAACTGCGGTAATTTCCAAATGCACGTCTTAAAATGTTCGTTACACCTTCTACTTTAGACCTGTTGCTCTGACGTCACCTACACCCTAGTCATCATTGCTGCTGCATACATACTCAGCACTTCAGACCTGCTGCCCCATTTTCCTGACCCTCACATAGCTTATTTTAGGGAGAAGGGAGTTAAAGCTGAGAGTGTTTTCTGCTCTTGTGTGTGTGTGTGTGTTTTACTTTGTTGCAGTACTGGGGATTGAGCCCAGGACATACAGAGCCTCCCACTGAGCTATATCCCCAGCCCTTTTTTATTTTGAGTCAGGATATCTCTCACTAAGTTGCCCAGGCTGGGCTTGAAATTGCGATCTTCCTGCCTCAGCCTCCTGTGCCTGAGAGTGACTAAATTGCATATTAAGCTGTGGTGGTGGAGGCAGGCGTGGTAATGCACACCTAGTACTGTACTCTAGGAGGTTGAGGCAGAAAGGATTGCCAAGATTGAGCCAATCCCGGGCAATTTAGTGACCTACCAAGACCCTGTCCTGTAACACAAAATAAAAAGAGATGGGGCCTGGTGATGTAGCTCAGCACAAAGGCACTAGGTTCAATCCCCAGTACCACCAAAAGAAAAAAGAAAAAAAGCCAATGGTGGATCAAAGACCCAGAGCCAAGTCCAGTCAAGAATTCCTTTCTTGCCTCCACAATAGATTATTCTAGACTGTTTTCTGTGGGTTTTGAGGTTTCACGTTGCCACTGTTTTAGACAGCTAAAATAGTCTGCCTCTCACCTGCTGCTCTTCATCTTTCAAGATCAAAAGGCAATCGATACATTACCAGCTCCCCACAAAGAATGTATTTCTTATGCATTGCAAACATACTGAAAGAAGAAAAGGAAGAAAGCAAAGCAAACCAAAAAAAAAGGAATTCTGGTACCTGGGTTCATTTTGTGAATTTTGTGAAAAACTAAGGTCTGTGGGTCCAGGGTAAGAGCTGCAGTTTTCTCTCTACATGAGACAGATGGGGCTTAGAGCTTTTTGATTATGTCTAATGACATTTTTACTCCTGTTTACAGATCCTGGTGGCTAAACATCTGATCTCTGAATAAGGAGCATATGAATAAGAGACTACTGAGACTTCTGGAAAGCATTATTAGAGTTCTCAGGACCCAACCAGTCTCCAACTGAAAAAAGAGCTGGATGGTTCTGCCGCCTGCCTCACAAGTGCAAGGACCCAAGTTCGATCCCTGGTACTAAAAAAAGAAAAAGAAAAAAGAGCTGGAAATCAGGCCTCCACCTTGTCACTGTGAGGGAAACGCACCTTCCATGGAAGGCAGAAGGGAGCAACAACAGCAATAAACAGTCAGTGAATCAGACACATGCTGGCCCATCTTATGTTTCCGTGTTTCACACAGTGCAGCTTGGGGACAGTCACAGGGGACATGAATGGTGCTGTTCTCTGAAAGGCCTAGATCAGTGGTGAATGAAGTTGGGTGAGAAGAAAGGTGTCAGTTCACAGGACACAGGGAGCCCGAGGGAGCTGCATACACAGAGGTGAGGGGATTGGGCTCCCAGGCCCCCGGAGAGCCTTACACACCTTACAGCTCAGGTTCCCTAGCTAACGTAGCCAACAGTAAAGGCGGTACCAGATTTCTTACAACTAGAGGTAGAATGACTTGGAGGAAGCGAGTTCCATCATGCTCAATGTGCATTATCCTCTACCCCTTCCACACCTCTGGAAGGGAGATTATTTGAGTGTAGCCTCAGAAAAGGCCCCAGAAGGGTCAGGAACATAGCTCAGCAGCACAGTGCCTGCATAGCAGGCACAAGGCCCAGAGTTTGATTCCTGGTACCAAAAAAAAAGAAAAGAGGCAGTGGAACCACTGAGCTAAATCCCCGACTAAAAAAAAAAAAAAGGCCCTGGAGAAGGACAAGTACACTGCTGTGACTGGGTTAGCATCAGGCCATCAGCCTGTAAAGAGCCCCAAAAGCTCTCAGATCCAAAAATTTAAAGCCAGAAAGGCAGCTGTGGTCCAGAGAAACCACTAGATCCTTCGTTTCCACCCCAGAACTATAGATCTGGCACTGGCCGAGCCCTGGCAAAGCTCTATGCCTCAACCTTAGCAAACCACAGTGCATTTCCCCGGGGTCTCAGACAGTTGGGCACAGTTCCCTGACTTCTGAAGCCGGTGCAGAACCTGGACCCCTGTACATATTTGCTCCCGAGCCCTGTCTTCCTGTTTCTCTGACGTGTCTCCACCCCAGACACTGCCCCTCCAAGTAATGTCCTGCCTGAACAGAGCTGACTCTCACCACTCCACATCCTGCTCACATAGTATGCTTCCCTGACTCCTGTCCACCCTGGCCCTCTGAGTGGGGCAGAGAACTCCTGCAACGGTCTTCCAGCAATTGGCCTGTTCAATGCCATTCCATCCCAGAGGCCTTCAGCAGGCACCTTACCCCCTTTTTAAACAAAGGTTCCATGCTTTCCCTAGAATTATAGAGAATATAACCGATGGCTCCACAAAGAATTTTTTAAATATGTTTAATACTTTTATTTAGTTATTAAAATTGTTTTAAATAACATAATTAGAAATTAAAATGACATGTTCTAAAATCCATAATTGCCTGGGCACAGCTACACAAATTCTCAGTTTTCACTCTGACATCTCCTCCACCTCACTGAAAAGCTTACGGCTCCGGGGCTGTTCAGGAACGGAAACACCTGGAGTGAGACACATCATCCCAGCCCAGGCCTTCAGCCACTCACCAGGGCTCTCACCGAAACAGCCTGGCTGAAGAGCTCTTCCCGCTGCAGCCTGAGAGGTGAGGTCAGGAGAGCTCCCAGGGGGCCTTGGAATCCTTGCGTGGGGGGCCACTGTGCAGGGATGGCCCGGACTGTCAGGGGAAGGGACACAGCATGCGGGCGGCTGGCGGGAAGATGCACACACAGAGGCCGCTTGTTAGTCCCCTCCTCCGACCGTCGGAACACGAGTGGCAGCTGTGGTGAGGACAGTAGCATTGCTCCCTGACTGGACAAGGGAGGGTGCAAAGGACTACTTCACCACGTGTG